TCTGTGGTCCCGTCCCTGAATCCAAGTCCGGCTTCTTAAGCACCTATCTACTGCTCAGTGGCCTGAGCCACTACGGTTAGCCACTATGCCAGTAGTCATCCTTTTAACACCTGACCATCAATACAGAAATCCTTGGACACAGGAATCGGAACAAGGTCGAGCCCTTGCCCTCAAGAGGCCACCCGTCTAGGGGGAAATACTGACCGGTAATAAGTATGGTAAGGAGCTGCCACAATGGAGGTATATTTGTAGTTGCCCTGGGGAAAAAAATTAAAAACCAAAATGGAGGAAGGAGTTGGTAGAGAAAGTGTGATTGGGATACAGTATCTGCAACCAAGAGCACGGAGTGTGACAAGGGCAATGCGCTGTCCACCAAGCCCCAGGCTCTGTCTCAGGTCCGCCTCCGTCTTTTGTGGGCAAGATTCCTAAAAACTGAAGGGAGTTCAACAGTGCCTAGCGCCTTAATTTTTGCCTTACAAAACCCACTGGCCAACTGACGGATCCAGAGTTTTTTATATTCGGTTATTGAAGACTCGGTTTGGTCCTCAATTAGGAACCAGATGTGTATGTGGAGGTGGCAGGCGTAGAAGGTAGGCCAGAGTGGGGCTGTGGAATAAAACTCTGTTATTCGTGATTGTCGCAGTTTCTTCAAGCATCTTGAATGGGCATAAGCTGACAGTGCTACCTCTCCTCGTGCATATGTCTAGCATGCCGGACAATTGAAGGTGATATGCCCCGATTCGAGAGTCCCCCCGAAAACAAACCACCAGAGTCCAGAGTCAAAGCCAAGTGGCAAGGGTCGTTTATTGCAGGTTCGAACCTGGTCCTCCGCGCACTCGTTGCCGGTGACACTAAGAGGCCCCGAGCAAGGATCTTACAGCTTCTTTTTTTTTTTTTTTCTTTCATTTTTTTTTTTCAACGTTTATTTATTTTTGGGACAGAGAGAGACAGAGCATGAACGGGGGAGGGGCAGAGAGAGAGGGAGACACAGAATCGGAAACAGGCTCCAGGCTCCGAGCCATCAGCCCAGAGCCCGACGCGCGGGGCTCGAACTCACGGACCGCGCGAGATCGTGACCTGGCTGAAGTCGGACGCTTAACCGACTGCGCCACCCAGGCGCCCCCTCTTACAGCTTCTTTTATAGACAGGCACAAACAAGTTAGGGATTTTTTTGAGGTTACCGAGTTGTTATTGGTTGACATTTAAATTTGAACACTCAGCAGAACTCGATTGGTTCCCGCCTTTATTTCAAACCATTCAGCAGAACTTGATTGGTTCCCGCCTTTATGTCAGGCTACAACCGGGCAGGCCCTGGCTGGATTCGGGAACAGCGGGGGGAGGGGAAAGATCTTTTCTTTGCAGTTGTGAGTATACCTGGTAATGTTTCTTTTAGCCTCTCAAAGGTTGATTCTTTCATCCGTCCCATGAAACAGAAATTCGCCTTCCAGTTTTGGACTATTTCATGCATAACGTCATATATTATATCGTCTGTATTACAGAATTTTTCTACCGATTTAATCCGGTCCTCCAAAACAATTACCTTTAACGTGACAAAATGTGATCAACATGTTGGCTATACTCGAGAAAGCAGTTTTTAAACTCCTGGTACTGCCTTGCCTTTTCTTTGGGTTTTTTGGATCTGGTGTTCCCCATCAGTTACCATAGGTATGCTGAAGGAGAGCCTGTCAAATATGGAATGTCGCTAGAGAGGGCCAGGCTGAAAGAGCTACGGGAGATACTCCAGTGGGTGATGTTGCAGAATCAGCATGAGGAAAACAACAAGAAGAAGAAAGCTGGAGAGATTCACAGGCTGCAATTGGCTCCATGAATTCCCTTTAACTGAATTCCTAACATGCTGTGTAAAGAATGGGGACATTTACGGGGGAAAGGTAGCACACCCCTTTTTTGTCCCAGTGATGGGGTGTTAAAAGCATACTACATTTACAGGTCCCCTGGCTATCAAATTTATTTTCTTACCACAAAGCTTCCCCAGCATTGTTTGTTATCCAGGAAATTCCACAGCTTTAGAGGACCCAGACTTCAAAGTCAAGGAAGTGGATTGGGGGCATGGGAGTCTTGGGGCACAGGAGGGAAACTATCCATCAGCATTAGAAAACTTCTAGATTTTTTTTTTTTTTTTGGTCTTTGTTTACTATAGGATGCAAATCAGAAGAGGATATCCACAGATAATTTTGAAAGCCCACGTATTCATTTTTGAAGACTAATATAGACACTAGCTTATCCTTTCCTGAAAAGTTGAGTCTACCAGACAAAACACTGTTTTATCAGTTGTTGATGGAAGGAGGCTTCCTTTACTAAACATTGTGCAGCCCCCCGCAGTGTGACCCTCAGGTCATGGGATAACACTAGCGTGCTCAGCCTCGAAGGGGCCTTTTTTTTTTTTTTTTAAGTGGCACCTGCTGTGAGGCTCTCGGCATAAATATTGAGCGCCTGCAGCAAATCACAGATGTTTTAGGCACTAGAAAAACCGACAGGAAGTAATCACTAAAAGAAAGCCAGAAACAGTATGGAGTAGGTAGGAGCAGGAGGAGAAAAGAAAAAGGCTATTTTTACCTCTGGGAGGATGTTTGGGGAATGGATTTAAAATGCAGAATATGAGTAGCCTTGCTGAGTGGTTCAATGTGACCCAGACTCCCTCTCGACCCAGCTGAGGACAGGGTTTCTGAAGAAGACAGGACATCCCATGACATAAGCTGAGTGGCAAAACATTCTTGAAAATCCCTTTACATTGTTCTTGATGGGGTGGAGTCCTTAACTTTTAGTTGTTACTGTTCTTTTGAGGCAGCCAAGTTTTTCATAGAACAAATACCCTATGTTCTTGGGGGGTTTTTTTTGTTTTTTTTTTTTTTTTGTTTGTTTTTCCAAATGTGAAAATAAATGCCATCATTTTGGTGCAAATCTTTCTTACTAGCCAGGGACCCCTTCCCTTTACACACCCCAGGGCAGTCCCTACCACCTCTCGTAGATGCTTTCTCCTGTTCACAAGGTTCACATTGGATATCGACCCTCTAAAAAAGAACGTCACGCATGAGTTTATCTTGTTTTCACACCAGCTTATTTTTGGTGTATCTCAAAGCCATATCATAACATTATTTTATAGAGTTCCAAGTAAGTAGTAACAAAGAAAATATTTGTCTACTCCCCATTTCCTCAACAATTTCTGGACCTCATTTCAAAGCGATGTGTGTTACCGGAATATTAATGTGTTTTTCTTTCTTCCAGAGAAACCAAAGCATATTGTTTGTTTTCACAGGAGTATTTATACTTCACGCGCTTACATTTTAAGACACATTTGCTCTATCCTGAGATTACCTCTCTAATAACTAATTTTCAGCGTATAATCACATTAACAATCTACCCCTAACCAATCCTTCTGAGTCCTATTTTTTTTTTAATTTTTATTTTAATATATGACGTTCCCTTTGGAGAAAGGCAAGAGCAAAATATCATATTGGATATTTTGCCAAGTCTGTCAAATGAGTAGCATTTCCACTTTCCCAGCTCCGTCTCATTAAAATTGTATTCTAATTCTGTCTTAACTTGGTCTCTGTGCTTCATAAGTCATTGCCTCCTCATTACGTGTAGTGTGGGAGATGAAATTTATTCAAACCCGATAGCTGAGATAAAGAATTGAAAGGCAGGCAGCTGGGAGAAATGAAATTAGCCTATTTTAGGGCTTTTCCGGCTGGATTTTTGCACCGCCACCCGTTAAGCCATGTGTCAGTTTGCATTTGTGACACCATGTACGTTTGGTTTATAGATTTTCGTTAATATGATATTCTTAAAACAAGAACGCAGAGATTCGCATTGCCCCCACCACCACCTTTTTTTTTTTTTTTTGTCTTAGCCTTGAAATGCCACCGAGTGTCTGAGTTGATAAAGGGGTAAACATGATTTTCTATAGTTTTCTATAATTATAGAATCATTAAAATTGCCCAACAAAGATTAATCGTTTCATTGTGTTACAATTCGTATTGGTGTCTCTTACAGAAAAGAACACTGGTGACAAAGAGTAAATGTTATACCCTCAGAATGGTTAGAGGGGAAATGGATTTGGAATGTAATGTGACTTACAGGCAATTTCACATACAATCCAGGAGGGAGCCACGCTTTCTAACGCAACCACTCCATCTTGAGCTTTAAATGTCAGAAGAATACGCTGTCGAATTCCTAATTTTGAATATAGAGGAGTTTTTGGAGGAAATTGACTAAAAGCACTGTAGTTTTCCATTATAAAATTGAGTTGTTAAGGAATTATATGGTCTAATTACTAAACTTGCTATTTTTTTTTTACTATTTTGATTATGAACAGATATTGTCATTAGCTAGCTAATTAAATTGACTGCAATAACAAGCAGTAATTTAGAAATATGTTCCAAATTAGTTTCTATATGAAAGCAAAGTCTTTGTTGATCTGTGTATGTGATTAATGTCAAGTGTCGTGAATTAGCTGAGGGAATTCTGTGTAGAAATATACGAGTTTCTATAAAAGAAAGAAGAGAGTCATTTACAACCTGCACTTCTGAAAGTAGAAGATGAAGCTTGATATGTGTCTAAATATAAGTCCTGGTAATTTTTTTTTTCTGGTCACTCAAAGAAAATATGGAAAGAACACATTTCCTAGAGCTGTGATGGTTAGTTTACATTAGGTTTCTCAGTCTCTAGGTACAGGGCAGGGTATATACCCAGCCTAGAAACTTCTCAGCTAATATATGTAAATTTAAATTTAAATAGAGCCGGCCCAAGTATTATGTAAGATATGTGGACACATCTGTCAAATCCACCGTAGTACAAAATCACGAACTATTTTATGTGGCTAATAAATTGTGCAGATGAGCAGTGGACCGTAGTCATAAACAAACTTGCCTTTGGTGTCGGTGTTTCCTAGGGGCAGGTACTGGATTGCAAAGGTGACCCTCTTGAGAGCATTTAGCATGGTGGATTTTTATTTGCTTTTTCTTTCTTTCTCTCACACATAGCTAGGCCCTGGCATGGCTTAAGAGATTCTGCCCGAAGGATTATGGAACAGATGAACTATGCTATAGTCATACATACGTGTAAGTAAGTTGCAAACCCCCAAACCGATGTGGACCTAAACAATTTACTCTCACAGGATTTATTCTTGAAGGTGTATGTACAAGTTTCAAGATAAACAGCAATCTGATACTGTAACTAATAAACCCAGACTCACGGTTTCCGCACCTTCTCTACTCCAGGCCCTTGGAATAAGCACCTGTCACAATCCTATGACTTGTATGGCCTCTCCCCAGCAAATGAAACTTAGAATAAGCCTGGGGAGTATGCTTTGTTATTCAGATCGATCATTTTTAACACCAAGCCTGGGTCTACATAATCCTCGAATTTGTAACTTAAGCCTCAGAAATCTACACCCTAAAGGGCTCTGTCGAGAAACCTACCAAGAAAACACACATGTTTCTGCACAAGACTTTGACCTAGGTCCTCAGTAACAAATCAGTTTCCCCCCTTTTCCAGGCTGTAAGAACCTGGTCGCCAATTATACTTAAATTATTTTACCTGGCCCCTTGATTCTTTTATCTACTGGATGTCTTCATAGAAATAACAGCTGCCGTAGCCGCATTTTTTTCGAAGCCACAAGGAAAGAATCTGTTTTCCCCCACCCCCTCCCGCCCTGTTAGCCTGTTCCTTCACACCACAGAGGGACAAAAAATACCTACAGGGAAAATGAATAGGAGAGCAAAGGGCCATCATGGATCTATTGTCCGTCTAAGGCCCTGCCGTGGCCACCAGGCTTTGGGGTTGCGCTCTGCCCTTAGGACTGCTGCTTACCTCTGTTCTTCATGGCCGGTGGTGGTATTTCCGTTTAGCACCAGTGACTACTACGGTCAGTGTCAAGGAATTTGGCTGATTTCTCGGATGTGGGGATTATCGCCTTCTCCCTGGGTATTCTGAGTTCTTAATATTTCTCGAGAGCCGCGTGCCTTGTGGAGAATTCCAGCCCCACGAAGGCATTTGTGATGCCAGATCTCAGAGAGGGGATCTTTGAAAAAGTGGGAGGCCTCACTGGAGTGTGTGCGCATGAGTCTCATGAGTAGGCACACCCACACCCGCCCCCATTAGCTTTAGTGCACCACGCGGACAACAGTATCCGTTTGCTTCTCGTCACTCCCCAAACCGAAACCTGTTTGTCCCGCAAAACATTGTTTGCCCATTTTTTTTTACCTTTGTATTTGACTTTCTTGAGATGTGACTGTATCGTTCTTTGACTAATTCCAGTAGTTGAATCAGTACTTGTGATCATGAAAAGTGCCCCTAATTACGAAGATTTTCTTTGAGAGTTCTCATTCAGCATCAGCGCTCCTGGCCTCTGCGGTGAGATGTGTCTTAAGAAGGTAACCAGTTCCTAGGGCGCCTGGGCGACTCAGTCAGTTGAGCATCTGACTTTGGCTCAGGTCATGATCTCTCTCTTTCTGTGAGTTTGAGCCCTGCCTCGGGCTCTGTGATGACAGCTCGGAGCCTGGAGCCTGCTTCACATTCTGTGTCTTCCTCTCTCTCTGCCTCTTCCCCACTCATGCTCTGTTTCTCTGTCAAAAATAAATAAGCATTAAAAAAAAAAAAAAAAAAAAGGAACCAGTTCCTAATCCACAAATGAAAGTAACCGTTTCCTTTTTTTATTTTTAACATTTATTCATTTTTGAGAGACAGAGCGTGAGTGGGGGAGGGACAGAGAGAGAGGGAGACAAAGAATCTGAAGCACACTCCGTGCTCTGAGCTGTCAGCACAGAGCCCAATGTGGGACTCGAACACATGAACTGTGACATCACGACCTGAGCCAAAGTCGGATGCTTAACAGACTGAGCCACCCAGGCACCCCGCAAGTAACTGTTTCCTAATCAACAAAGGAATGCCCACTTCTAAAGCAATGTCTTCTCTCATTTTCTAGAGTTTTACACCCAGTATACTCCCATATTTTTGCCTCTCAATCTGTTGTTCCCATGTCTCCTTTCTGGAATGACGTTCACTTCCCAGATATTAGTGTACTTAGTCATCAGAGATGAGCAGTCAAACTTAGGGACGTGAAGTGGCTGGCTCTAAAAACAATCACACCGAAGATCAGCTTTTGGCAAAAAGAGAACAAAAATCACGTAAGACATATTCCCAAATTTGTTACAGGACGAGTTACAAAAAGAGGAGAAATCATGGCTCTGTATATAAATATAAAAGGAACACACGTCGAAGACTCTAAAGGGCAGACACATAGACCGGGAATATTGAAATGGATTGGCAAATAGATACAAAACTGGCTTCTCCCACAGTGGAGTAGCCAAGTTAAAACTTGCAGTTGCAAATTGATTTGCATGTCGGTAGCTAAGAACTATTTGCATGACTATCCATTTTCTGCAAGTTACTTTCTACTTTACGGAGTTGTAAAAAACTGTAATCTCTAAAGACTCCATGGAAAGGGTATGCAGTCATTTATTTTGGTTATTCTAAAGTTTTGCCTTTTTTTTTTTTTTTTTTTTTTTTACAGATCAGTTGAATGTCCTTGACCCAACAAATGAATGAATACCCTTGATTACACTTCTGCTGTACGTAGGATTAATTATTCATTCATTCAACAAATATTATTTCTTACATACCCGACCTATCTTCCTGAGTATGTTCTGGGTGCTGAGAATGACGCAGTTAAAACAGAAACACCTTTATCTTACGTTCTAATGGGGACAGATAGAAAATTAGGAAGTACACAAGCAAATTATGAGCATATGTGTCAGATGATGTGTAGGGCGGTGGAGGGAAATAAAGCAAAACGGAGTAGAGGGAGTGGGACTGAGGTAGTTTTTAAAGATGATGTTTAGGAAAGGTTTCACTACTATGGAGTTATTCCAGCACAGACCTGAAGGAAATACAAGTCAAAGGTTTTTTTTGTTTTAAGTTTCTTTCTTTATTTTTTGAGAGAAAGAGGGAAGAGAGAGAGAGACAGAGACAGAGAGGGGCAGTGAGAAAGGGGGACAGAGGATCCAAAGCAGACCCTGTGCTGATGGCAGAGAGCTCACTGGCTCTAGCTCACGAACAGTGAGATCATGACCTGAGCTGAAGTCGGACGCTTAACTGGCTAAGCACCCCCCCCCCCCCGTGCCCCAAGGTCAAAGTTATACAAATCACTGGGTGAAACTAGCAAATGCCCAACTCTGAGATGACACCAGGCTTAGTGTCTGTAGGGTCAGCAGGGAGGTCACTGTGATGGAACAGAGTGAGCGTGGGGCCAGAAGAAAGAATAGTGCAAGAGAAGTAGCAGAATGGATGAGGGAGGGCTTTATAGACTGTGGTACAGAGTGTGTACCTCTAAGGGTGACAGAAAGCAAGGGGAAGGAGCGGGGTAGAGTACCAAAATACGCTAGCCCAGAATCTGCTTCTTTGGCATATGGATTATTTTGAGCTGAAGTCCATTGAGAACCAGCAGTTACAGGGAAAGCTCTAAAAGCAGAGCACAAGTTTTCCCAAGGAAATTTACATCGTTAAAGAAAATTTCCATTTATAATGATAATTCTCTCTCTTACCCTGAAGAGGAGGACTCTTCATAGCTCTTATCAATAGACTTCAATTTGCATAAGAAACCTTACAAAACTTGTTTACCATACTTTTCCTGGTCCCCTTCCCTGTAACTTGCACCCCCCAGCCCAGAATCCCCTAATCGCTTTTCCTTAAGTTAGCCTAAAATGATAGGTAAGCCCTTTGGGGTACTCATCACTGAGCATGCCCACGTGTTATAAACTTGTCTTTTTTTTTTTCTTTCTTTCTCTTGTTGATCTATCGTTAGGCAATCTGACTTAAAGGGTTCCCCCTCCCCCCCCCGCCCCCCACCCCACCCCGGCAGGAGAATCTCAGATGGGTCGGGGGAGACATTTTTCCCTTACAAAGCTTTTGAGCTTGGGAGTGTAATGATACAGTATACATTTTGTTTTGTCTCCCGTGGGAGATGGGATCAGGATTTACTGAAGATCAGCCGGGAGAGTTCTTTGGAGTTTATTATGGTGGTTTGAAGCAAGAGTGGTAGCTGTGGAACCAAGGAGTGAAACCAGCAGGGAATGTCTGCTGACCCCAGCAAGAAGAGGAAATCGCTTTGCAAGACACGCACGCAGTTCATTTTTTTGCCCTTCAGAAACTTTTCCTAATTCAGACACAAACTTGTCAAAACACACAAGTATTCCGGGAAGATGATTTGTGGCAGCTCCTGCAAAGCATGTTGAAAGACATCCGTTGTTCGCCACCTTTCCTTACCGAGCCTGTGATGGGTGCTCGCTTGTTTGCACCCAAGAGAAACTTACGGTGACTGAGTTAAGCAGAAAAAGAGAAAATTGAAAGCATATCATTCGTTTATAGACTCTACGGAAGAGTTGGAACCAGTTTTTTGAAGCCAACAGGGGGAAAAAAACGTTGCCTTCATTTTGTGTATGGGGAGATAAACACGAGAAGATAGTGTTTTTAAATGTAAAACAGGGACCCTGAAGAAAAAAATTACCCAATGAGTGGAAGACATAAAAATATGAAGTAGGCTTACACAGCTCTGTATCAAATGAGAATTTGCTTATACCAGGAGTCATCAGTTTTGTTGGTTTTTTTTCTTTTTAACATTTATTTATTTTTGAGACAGAGAGAGACAGAGCATGTACGGGGGAGGGTCAGAGAGAGGGAGACACAGAATCGGAAGCAGGCTCCAGGCTCCGAGCCATCAGCCCAGAGCCCGACGCGGGGCTCGAACTCACGGACGGCGAGATCGTGACCTGAGCCGAAGTCGGACGCTCAACCGACTGAGCCACCCAGGCGCCCCCAGGAGTCATCAGTTTTTATCGAGTAACTGTGCAGTTATGGAAAATGTAGGCTCTGTCGCTCTGGTTTAAATGGTTTCAAATGGGGGCACGTGGGCAGCTCAGTCAGTGAAGCATCCAACTCTTGGTTTCAGCTCAAGTCACGATCTCACGGTTGCTGAGTTCGAGCCCCACATCGGGCTCTGTGTTCACAGCCTGGAGCCTGCTTCGGACCCTCTGTCTACCTCTTTCTGCTTCTCTCTCTCTCTGAAAAATAAATACATATTAAAAATATTTTTTAAAAAAAATAAAATAAATGGTTTCAAATGGAGAACTTCTCCTTGTAGCAATGACCATAAAATCCCCAACCAGGGGAATCTACTTGGATCATTTTGGCCATTCATCTGATTCCTCTGGGAAATTTTTGTTAATTTTTTTTTTTTAACACAAATTTCCAGACCACAACGCAAAATGTTCTAAATTACCACACTTGAGCTTGGAAACCTGTGCTATCTTTACAAATTTCCAGGGATTGTAATGATCAGCCAGTATGAGGACCCATGAGTTAAGCCTCAGTCTGCACCTAATTCTTTTTTTTTTTTTTCTTTTAATCCACATGCTCAAAGAGAGTATCTGAAAATAAAGTTGTGTTTGTTTATTGGGAGTTCCTCATTTTATTGAGTCACAGAATGTTGGTGTTCAAAGATTATCTGGTCAGAAGCAAAACCGACTGATGAGACAAACCCAGCCCCAAAAGTGCCCAGAATCAACAAAAAGCTCAGTTCTCCCACACTTTTCTCACCCCACTGCCTGTTTTCCCATGTGGACATTGCCTGAAAAGTATGCTTAAACACTTTTTTTTTTTCATATATAATGTGGTTTCCTTACTATGCGGATGTGTAATTTTAATTATCTGGTTTCTATCTATTTTCAGAAACTTAAGCCGCATTTAACAAACAGATACAACATGAAACAGTAAAAAAAAAAGAAGAAGAATGAGAGAGAGAGACCAGAGAGCAAGATCAAGGAAAGAACAAGGTAAATATGCCAGCGAGAATTCATCACCTTTGCAGTGATACAGTTTAGATTGGTTTCCGAGCTCCATGACACTCAGGGCAAAAAACCAAAACCATACTCTAAGTTCCACTGAAGGTAAGTGGCCTGATTTCTTTCTCATTATTTATTTTCCTTCTTGTATGAAGCCGTGAATTGCTTGGTCAATAATTAATGGCTGTGAGTCGTAACACTGGAGCTGACACCACATTAAACTTTCATGCCATTATGCTAAGGGACTACAAATTTCAGAAGGAAACTTGGAAGGTGGCTAGGACTATGTAGAAAACAGAGTGAGCCGTGGATATGGGTCTGTGTGGGATTTCACATTGGGAAGGCATTTTATCAAATTTAAACACCATTGGGGCGCCTGGGTGGCTCAGTCGGTTAAGCGTCCGACTGCAGCTCAGGTCACGATCTTGCGATCTCGAGGTCCGTGAGTTCGAGCCCCGCGTTGGGCTCTGGGCTGATGGCTCAGAGCCTGGAGCCTGCTTCCGATTCTGTGTCTCCCTCTCTCTCTGCTCCTCCCCCCTTCATGCTCTGTCTCTCTCTCTGTGTCTCAAAAATAAATAAAACGTTAAAAAAAAATTTAAACACCATTTATTAAAGCTTTCCTGAAAGAAATTTGTGTGTATCCTTGTTTCGGTTTTCAGATCTAACATCCAAGCCTAACTCAACACAGTTTATCCGACTTACTACTTTTCAGGCTTCTTCTGGCTTTTTGCACACGACACGACTCAGAATTCTTCAGGTCCCTTAGCTTTGTTGGGCTTCATCTTTCCCATTTTTTAGGTGTTTTACCCCAAAACCATGGTGGGAAATAAAAAGAAAACAATTGGGCCCTGTGCTCATAAAGAGTACTGAGCTGCCCGCTTCCCTGGTTTGTTGTGGTTGCCGCTGTTGTTGTGACTGTCCTGTCTTTTGTGTACCTTGAATGGTCCTTACTTTTTAAAATGTTTATCCAGTGTTTCACATACTTCCCATGACTCCCTGCTGATACAGCTTCAGTGCAATTCAAGTATTTATATGAACACTGCTGAATTCAACTTGCATTATTTAGGCACACAAAGGAAAATTCCTGGCATTTCCAAGTCACAGTTGTTTAATCAGATGACGTCGTGTCACTGGGTTTAAGAATAGCTTTACACCCAGCAAAAAAAAAAAAAAAAAAGAAAAGAAAAAAGTGAAATTGTCATTTTCTCTTCCCATCCTATGGTGTTCTTCGGTGAAATTAACTGAACTGCATTGTAATTCAATTTGGACTGAATTTTTTAAACTAAGCAGCCTAAAATAGTCGCGCTGGACTCTATTTGCTTATTTAATTGACTTGGGAAAAAGGACCGTATCGGGACAGGGAGAAAGCCGTCATCACCGTTCAAAGAGACCTCACTGCAGCCCTTTCTCTCCGCCCCTTGAAGGAAAGTCTTGCCCCTTGACACGTCCTCATTATGGAAATGAATGTAACATTGAATGAGTAATGTCATTCTTTTGGAATTATGACACGGAGGGGAAGAATTCTAGCACACTGGGAATTTGGGTTAGGAATTGATTTATAAAAGAAATGGCCACGTTTGTTTTTATTGTGGGTAAAGCCCTAGTTTGGGAAAAGACAAAAGGGCAAGGAATTTGGGGAGTTTATGGATGAATGTGGATCTAATGAAGAGAGTCCATTGGTTCCACAGGCCAGAGTAAGATTCCCACAGTCCTGAACAAACAGTTCTCAGCCTATAATTTCTGAGCCTTTGTTTCCCCACTTTGGGATTCTGACTACCGGCATGTTACCAAGCCAACTGGGTTCACTACAAAGATCTAGCGAAGCTCTTTTTATCACAAAGATCAAGACAACAATTGTGTGCCTACAAGAAAAGAACAACTAAAACCATCCAACAAGCATTAAAAGAACAATTCTGGAGATAGTTGCCTTTGAACTCCAATAATGGGCAACGTCCAGTCCCAAGCCTTGAAATTCAGAGTTAACAGAATTCATTACCAATCGCCTTTCCTTGTAATTATAAGCCCTTCTGGCATCAAGTATTTTCAGTGGCATTAATTTTGTCAAAAGTGATGTTTTGCAGTCATGTTGAATCCCATACAATGGCCGTATTATAAATCTGCTTTACAGACTTAGTTTTGTTTGTGATAGAGTTCATTTATGAAATAGAAGAAATCTAAATTTTGCCTTGGCTTTACCCCAGACCACAGCAAGTGGAGCATTGTTTTACAAAAGCTTGTTCTGAAATATCACTTCCTGAATATAAAAGTGTGCTGTTTGTGCAGGTACGTTCCGTTGACATGCGCGACGTCCAGCTGAGAAAATAAGAAAGGGTAACCAATCTGCCTGTTTTCCTCTTTCAGCTGTGACCTGTGAACAATTTCAGTTCCAGGTGGAAAAAAATAATAATAATCATTTCCATTTTTGTGTAAATACTTCCTTTTCTGATGGTGTGAGACTATTTTCAACTGAATCTGAGCAGGCTGCAGTAGTTCCGCATAAATATCCTGTTGGGAGAATTTTGACCACTGTCATTGTCCAAACCTTAGAAATCACTTTTGAGATGCAGTCATTCCTTACCGCGAAATCCACCACAAACTGTTTGTTCTTATGTGCTTGTGGGGAGTGCACGCTCTTTTCTTTCTGCATAAGAAAAACTAACGTACCCACTATCCCGTGGTTTCCTTTGGGGGATGGTGGAGTGAGTTTGCGTTTCACAAAAAACTAGCGATGCTACTTCTGGGCACCGCCGAGCAACTTGTGTTTGTGCATTGTTAACACCTCGCTCCTAGAAAGCTTGCCAAAACACTTCTTGCCAAAAGGCAAAAGATGGGAAGAAAGTTGACTGATAGGAAGTGGCCTGGGGCTTCGTTGTTCACTTAGATTTCGATGATTTATTATTGATGTGTATCCACGTATAAGTTTCAGTGCTCCGCCAGAAAATTTTATGCCAGAATCCATATGGAGATCCATTTGGGGATATCTTTATTAATTTCTTAAATGGGAAACTATGAATTTGGCGAGTAACTTCTCTTCAGTTGCAAATGATCAGCTTTAATGCATTGCCTACAAGATTTCAGATTATCATGAAAAGAGTATGGTGATTTTTTTCTAGGTCCACATTTGAATGCTAGTTACTTAGAAGTCACAGAAATGCATTAATTATTAGCCAACACGGGCAATTCTTAACTAAAGGTAGGTTGGTAAATTACATTCTTAGAGGGAAAAGAAATCTATAAATCAAATATGATGTTTCCATTAAAGGGTAATTTACTGTTATATTCCCATGAAGACCTTGATGACAAACTTTTTAGGACAAAAAGGGGGGGGAGTAAATACCTTACTTTATTACTGATAAAGAATTTTTCTATTCTGTATGGTATGATAAGATTCATAGAACATCCAACCCTGTATGTTTTTTTTTTACTTTTATGTTTATTTATTTTTTTTTAATTTTTTTTTTAATGTTTATTTTTGAGACAGAGAGAGACAGAGCATGAATGGGGGAGGGTCAGAGAGAGGGAGACACAGAATCTGAAACAGGCTCCAGGCTCTGAGCTGGCAGCACAGAGGTCCGATGCAGGGCTCGAACTCACGGACCGCGAGATCATGACCTGAGCCGAAGTCGGACGCTTAACCGACTGAGCCACCCAGGCGCATCCTATGTTTATTTATTTTGAGAGAAAGAGAGAGCACACATGCTCCTGTGCATGTGCAGGGAAGGGGCAGAGAGAGAGGGAGAGAGAGAGAGAATCCCAAATAGGCTTGGTGCTATCAGCATAGAGCCCAGTATGGGGGCTCTAACTCACAAACCGTGAGATCATGACCTGAGCCGAAATCAAGAGTCAGGTGCTTAACCAACCGAACCACCCAAGTGCCCCAATCCTGTATTGTGATTAAAGAGGAGAAAGAATAGGAATTGTGTCTGAAGCCAATGGTCACAGATCCCAGAAAGACTAAGGCCAGGCAAGTGGAGAAGAGGGAAGAGGAGGGAAGGAAGATTTTATATGCCAGGGCACAAGAGGGGAGACCTACTGACAAATATAATTTGTGACGTGCCTGCTTTTAGATCCACAAATAATAACATGGGATACTCTTGGCAAAGGAGTTTGGCTGTAAACTGATAGAAGTCAAAACCTATTGCTATTAGGCATATCAGGCTTTCAAAATGTAGAGGAGATGAGGTGAAAGGATTATACGAACAATGTGCAGCAGGGCACTTACCCTACTTTTAGATGTTAGTAAATTTATGACGATTTCTTGGTGGGCTTTTTGGTGCCAGTAATATTAAAAAGCAAGTGTTGAATTAATACATAAGTTGTTAGACGCAGATGCATGTGCATAGTGGAGAGAAGGAAAAACTTTTCCTCATCCCCCTTAGGGTCCCTCGCTGGGTCTGAAAACTAAACTGGCAAAGACAGATTAACAGGAGTAAAGCAGATACGTTTAGTTTAACATAAGATTCACGTGGCATAGGAACCTTTGTAATGAGGACCCGAAGAAACAGCTAAGCCTATGTGTTTTTATACTAAGTTTGATGAAGAGTGGAAAGCGCGGAAAAATGAGACAGGACAAAAGGGTCTGAACTAAGAGTAGTAAACTGGGGCATACTTACCAAGGCTTGTTCTTTCATAATTTTTTTTGTTTTTGAGAGAGAGAGAGAGCGTGCATGCACCTGCAAGTGGGGAGGGGCAGAGAGAGAGAGAGAGAGAGAGAAACCTTAAGCATGTTCCATGCCCAGCACGAGCCCGTAGCAGGACTCCTTCTCGCAACTGTGAGATCATGACCTGAGCCAAAGTGGGATGTCCAACTGACTGAACCACCCAGGCACCCTCACATTAAGGTCTGTGACCTGCTTCGGGGAAAAAGGGGGAGGTCAGAGTCTTCCCTATACTTTCTATTTCTCAAATACCTCCAGTTTAAATACAGTCAACATGCAATC